ATAATGTATTTGTGTTTTAAGCTAAGTGTTATTACAAGAGAGTCAAAAAGTTAAAATTTAAAAGTTTGGAAAGTAAAAACAGTAAGCTAAGATTAATTTATTATTGAAGAAAAATAATTTTTATAAGTTTAGTGTAGCCTAAGTGTACAGTTTTTATAAAGTCTACAGTAATGTACAGTAATGTCCCAGATTTTCATGTTCACTCACTACTCACTGACTCAACCCGGAGCAACTTTTAGTCCTGCAAGATCCATTCATGGTAAGTGCCCTATACAGTTGTACTACTTTTTATCTTTTATATGTTCTATGTTTAGCTATGTAAATACTTACCCTTGTGTTACAATTGCCTGCAGTATTCAGCACAGTAACATGCAGTACAGGTTTGTAGCCTAGGAGCAATAGGCTATACCATATAGCCTAGGTGAGTAGCAGGCTATAATCTAGGTTTGTGTAGGTACACTCTGATGTTTGCACAATGACGAAATCCCCTAACCACACATTTCTCAGAACGTATCCCTGTTGTCAAGGGATGCATGACTGTATAGCAAAAGATAAGGTAAGGTGAACTTTCAGGTTTGGAGAGTGAGGGAAGATTTAGTGATGATTTTGAGATATTCAAGAGATTAAACTAATTGTCCCCTATTTGTCCATTCCATTCTTAATTTGAGATTATCTCATAATCTCTTTTATACACTAGAAAAATTATCAACTGAATTTGCAGGAGTATATCAGTAGTCCCTGGGAACTTGAAGTCACTATATAGGATTAGAAAATAATAGAATGACAAAGTTGAAAGGAGTGTTTGAGACAAGCTTGTGCCAGCCTACCATTTTGCAGATGAAGATGCCAAAAATGCTGTAAAACTGGAAAGCATTATGAATTCTTCACTTCTAAAATTAGAATAATATTAAAAACAAACAATAAACCGTAGGTCAATCATTTTATTTGTTTATTTAATTATTATTTTTTTATTAATTAATTTTTGTTACAGATGTTTCTCCTTTTTCCCCCATTGACACCCTCCTCCCCATCCCCCCCACCTTTGTTGTCTATGTCCATCGGTTATGCATACATACATATAAGTTCTTTGGTTTATCTCTTCCCTCCCCCAACCCCCTCTTCTGAGGATTGTCAGTCTGTATTCTACTTCTATGACTCTGGGTCTCTTTTGTTTATCAGTTTGTTTAGTTCATTATATTCCCCAAATAAGTGAGATCATGTGATATTTGTCTTTCTCTGCTTGGCTTGTTTCACTTAGGATAATACTTTCCAGGTTCCTTCATTTCATCTCAAAGGATAAGAGATCTTTCTTTCTTACAGCTGCATAGTACTTCATTTTGTATATGTACCACAGCTTTTTTATCTACTCGTCTACTAATGAATACTTGGGCTGTTTCCAGATCTTAGCTATTGTAAATAGTGCTGCTATGAACATAAGGATACATATATTCTTCCTGATTGGTGGTTCAGGCTTCTTACAAATGGCCAAGAGACATATGAAAAAATGCTCAATGTCACTAATCATCAGAGAGATGCAAATTAAAACAACAATGAGGTATCACCTCACACCTGTCAGAATGGCTGCCATCAACAAATCACCAAACAAGTGTTGGCAAGGGTGTGGAGAAAAGGGGACTCTAGTACACTGCTGGTGGGAATGCAGACTGATGCAGCCACTATGGAAAACAATATGGTGTTACCTCAAAAAATTAAAAATTGAACTGCCATTTGACCCAGTGATCCCACTTCTAGGAATATACCATAGGTCAATCATTTTAGTTCCTATACCAGGAACAACCTTGAACACTGCTCTTCAAAAGGGAATTTCTGAGACTACTGAAAATCATAGAGTAACTGTCAATAAACATATATAATCCTAAAGAGTAGTTTGATTCCCTTCAGTAGGAAGCCTCATAAGCAGTATGTCAGTGACATCATATTAGTGTTTGGAAGTAGGCATTTCAATTATGGTTACCAATTGTATTGGTTTTCCTGGGACTGTCCCATGCTTAGCACTAAAAATTCTGTGTCCCAGGCAACTCCTCAGTCCTGGACAAACTGAGGTGGGTGGTAGCGCTACAATGAACTCTGTTCTTATGGCAAGTTCTTTTTTTACAACTTGAATTTATTTGATTCTTTTGGTTTTTAAACAGAGTTATAATTTACATGTAGTAAAGTATATAGATCTCAACTGTATAACTTGGTGAATATTTACCTGTTTATATACCATGTAATTAAGAAAAATACTACATTCACCACAAAAACTTTTCTAGTATTTTGGGGTCAGAACATACTTATCTCTTTCTTCTGTGTTCAGTCTACTGTTAAACAAATCCGAGTTCTTAATTTCAGATATTGATGTTTTGTAATTACAGAAGGTCTATTTGATTATTTATTACAGGTTTTAATTATCCTCTGTTGAAATAATGCACCTTTTAATCTATTTTGTTTACTTTTCCTCTGTTTTCTTTAGCATATTGATCATAGTTATTTTGAAGTTTTTGCCAACTACAGGGAAATTTTTGAGGCAATATCTATTGACTATTTTATCTCTTGATTATTGCTTACTTTTTCCTCCTTCTTTGAAGTTCCATTTATTTATTTTATGCAGGAGAGTGGATGATATGTTGTAGAGGCTTATCTGCATACAAACAATATTGAATTTTGATTTGCCAGGCAGTTAAATTACTGGTGGATCACCTTGATTTTTCTGAGGACTGGTTTTCTTAGAGCAACTTCATTTCTATTTTGTCCTTACTCCTAGAGTGTGGCCTTAATCCTACGGCAACTCCTATGGTGTTTCATTTACCCTAGAGTATGGCCTTTCACCTGAATATCCAGAGTGTTCATCGAAGTCTGTCTTTTCTGGCTGGGCCTAACCACCAGTTGTCTCTCCCAGAATATGCAAATTTCATAATTTCTCATCAGTTCTCACATGTGCAGTCGCTCTTCTCTGCAAATCTCCTGGAGTCTCACCTAAACTTGTAGGGCCCAGGAATTGATCCATTAAAGTGGAATTTCTATGAAGGCTTTTGGGTTTCCCTCTCTGAGGCTTTCCTTCTTGACTGTCACCCACCTCAGATCCTGGCCACTTTTCCATTTATAATCTCCAATTTCTGCCTCTTCCATCCAGTGAGACCAAAGTGTTCCCAGTGAGAGACCCTGGGTTAATATGGGACCATGATAGTGGGTTGGCTTAATGATGCTTCCTTCAGGTCAGTACTTATATTTTCTAGCAGATTTTGCTTAGATCTTCTGCCTTATTCACATACAAATATTTTTTAGAGCAAAGTTCACCTTCCTTTTACCAATATTAGAGAATTATCAAATGTTTATTATAGGCCAGATATTTTTCATATACCTTATGTCTTATAATCTCCATTAAAAGCACATAAGAAATAATAATAGTACTTATACAGTATTACCAAATGCCAGGCATTGTTCTGAGCATTTTATACATCTCATTTAATACTATATGTATTTGCCAGGCTGGTGTGGCTCAGTGGTTGAGCATCGAGCCATACACCAAGAGGTCACCGGTTTGATTCCCAGTCAGGGCACATGCCCGAGCTGTGGGCCCAATCCCCGGTGGGGGCATGCAGGAGACTGCCAGTTGATGTTCTCTCTCATCGATGTCTTTATCTTTCTCTCCTCTCTAAAATCAATAAAAAGAAAAAATATTAAAAAAAAAAATACTATATGGCCCTGGACAGTTTGGCTCAGCAGTTAGAGCATTAACCCGCAGACTAGAGAGACCCGGGTTCGGTTCCCACTAGGAGCGCGTAGCTTGGTTGCAGTTTGTTGCCGGCCCTGGTTGGGTCGTGCGGGTGGCAACCACTTGATGTGGCCCTTTCACGTCAATGTTTCTCTCTCTCTCTCTCTCTCTCTCTCTCTCTCTCTCTCTCTCTCTCCCTCTCTCTCTCTCCCTCCCTCCCTCTCTATCTGAACAAAATATCGAAAGGTGTCCTCAGGTGAGGATAATAAATAAATAAATAAATAAATAAATAAATAAATAAATAAATAAATCTATATGTATTTATTTAATCCTCACATCAACCCCATAGATAGGTACTATTATTGTTCCTACTTTACAAATGAGAAGTTTGGAAAGCTAGAGAGACTTAAGTAATGTCCCTTCCAAAATACACAATCTGTAAATGGGAGAAGCCAAGGTTTCAAACCTTGGCAGTCTGGCTTCAGCAAATGTGCTTCTAACCACTTCACTGTTGTGGTGGTGTTCTCATTTTACAGGTGAAGACACTGAGCCTTCGAGAGGTTAGGTGATCTTCCCAGTGTCTCAGTGAGTGCCAGTAAGTGGCAGCCCTCGGATTTGAACCAGGCTCCAAAGTCCTTGCTCCTTCCTCTCTACATTCTTCCAAAGAGAGGGGGGGAAAGTTTTCCCTTTTAGGACTTCAGTTTAAAAGGGTTTTGTAAGAATATTGTGGTGACTTATGAGGAGATCAGACAGCTTCCTTTTGGTCTTCATGAACATATCTTCTCATGTACATGGTTTGCTGGCCCTGGAAGGGCGTTGTTTTTGCCATTGACACATGTTATTTCTGAACATCTCTCAAAATGACTCCTAGGGAAGGATATTGATAGTTCCATGAATGCCAGTCTTGGGAATGGAAAGATGGCAGAGCTCAGCCTTGAGGCCCTCCCCTTCACTGGGACATGTGGTGCTCAACTGACACGTGCATCTCCCTTTAGGTATGAGCATGTGTGCTCTTGGGTGTTTCAGACATTTGCCAGCCAGAAACAGAGGCCTTGGGGGGGGGGGGGGTTGAGATACCAACTATTACTGTGCTGTTAAGGCTGCCAAGTGTGATGAAGAGTGGAAGTCGGTTCCTTTGTCAGTGCTGTCAGACCCAGTTGTTCCCTTGTGCCATGCAGGGCGTTCACACGCCCCTGGAGGGCCATGGAAGCTGTAGACTGCGTTCTCTGAGGAAGCCACCCATGTGTCTCAGCCGGTCTCTGATACTGACCTCCCTCTTTTGCAGTATGGAGGCTGCCGGCATCGGGTTCGTCATTATTATCGACAGACGAAGGGACAAGTGGAGCTCCATAAAAGCATCCTTGACACGAATAGCTGTAAATATTTACTTTTGTGCTTTTTTTTTTATAAAAGTAATTTAAATGGTCTCTTCAATTATTTCCTATTGAAGTCACAGGGAAAAGGCGATTATTTTATGACACAGTTTTGGAAGGTCTTTGTTGTGTCACATCTATATCCCCTCTGCCACCTGAAGGTCACTGCAGAGAATTCCTGAGCATGTCAAAGGCTTCCTGAATCTCCCGACTTTATCGATTTCTCTGGTCACTGAAGAGGGGTGGGTAGAGAATGCTGGGCAGTTAATGCCCAGGAGTGACCTAAACCATTGAGTCATGGAAATTGGGGGATAAATACCCCAGCTTCAGTGGGACACTTCTGAGGTATGTTCCGTACAGTATCAGAGGCTCCCAGCCCCTCGTGCCCACAGCAGTCTCCCCTCACTGACACACTGGCTGTCTAGCCATCACTGTCTCACCCCCACCAACTTCCTCACTGTGCTTCCTGAGATCACCTCAGGAAACCCTTTATACCCAACTCCTTGTCTTAGAGTTCGCTTTGGGGGTCACCCACTTTAAGACTGTTTTTATTTCAGTATTCAAATTATTTTTTCACATATTAGAAAGACAGGCTAAACCAGACCAAATGATGTTTAAGTAGATTGATTGAAGGTGTGCTTACTTTTGGCATTAAATTGTACAAACTTGGATGAATTTTCTTTTTATCATATTAGCCTGATTTTGATCCCTTGTTTGTTAAAGGCAGGTAGATGTATCCTTTCTCTGCAGGGACCACAGACCAGAAAACTCAGTCACATGGGCAGGCACCTCAGGGTGACCCACACCAGCATTTCCATCAAAGCACGGACTCTCTGAGGCAGTTGGGCCTGGCTGAGGGGGATGGGATATGGCAGGGTGGAAATGTGTGTAGAGGCTGGGACAGGAGCTGAACATAACCTCACTTATGCCTACTTGCAGAGTCAGCCCCACATACAAATATGCACATAGACAGTCTCTCTCAGATCACTTGCAGTGGTTCTCAACCTTCCTAGTGCTGCAACCCTTTAATATAGTTCCTCATGTTGTTGTGACCCCCCAACCATAAAATTATTTTTGTTGCTACTTAATAACTGTAACTTTGCTACTGTTATCTCTTAGGTGACTCATGTGAAAGAGTCGTTCGACCCCCAAAGGGGTCGCAACCCACAGGTTGAGAACCGCTGCTTTAGAGCCTCAGCCAGATACACAAAGAGTATCTCAGCTCATTTGTCCTGTCATGCCAACAGAATGCATTTCAAACATGGGGAAAGAGAAGTCTCCCTTCCTTTGTTCATGGACTGTTTTATCCCTTTGATTTAGTTTTGGTTATAGGATTTATTTTGGGGATAACTACAATGATGATTGATGCTCTAAGCATTTGGACAGTTGACAGTGCCCATGACTACTCCAGTGGTCTGACCTCCAGGGAGCTCTGATTTCCCAGGGTCTGTAGAAAACACTTGAATTATCTAATATTTGAGCCTAATTTGTCCAAGAATTACATCGATCACTTTATGCATAAAAAATACTGTAGTGCAGGATTCCTGGCTACCAATCAAAATTTCTTCATGTACTTATTGAATACAGATACCTGGACTTCGTCTGAGTCCTAATGAATCAGAACGTTCCAGGGAAAAGACCATATTTTTTTCTACCAAGCACTGCAGGAGGTTGCCTTTGGGAACCCCTGGAAGAATAGAAAGCCAGGAGCAAAGGGAGACTTGGATTCTCAACTTTGCTACTAAATTGTTATATGAATCTGAGTTAATCTCATTTCTCAGGACTTCATCTCAAGATGAGCACAATGCTTCCTAAAAGCAACATAGCAATGATATGTATCAAGGACCCTAAAATACTAAGTCTTTGACTCAGTAATTCTTCTAGAAACTATCCTAAGAAAATATTCCAAAATATGGGTAAAGATGTTTATTTCAGTGTTATTTATAATAGCAAAAATTTGTAAAAGCCGAAATCACTAGCAATAGTTAAATAAATTGTGCACCCATGAAAAAGATGTCTAAATATTTTAATAACAAGAATAAAAACTCATAGAATTAACATTAAGTGAAAAGGTGGGTTACAGAATATTTCTATAATATGAGTTTAACCATGATAAAAAATGTTTAAGCAGAGAAAATAGCCTATAAATAATTTGGGGAAAAAAGGAGGGATGTCTGTAATACTTTGAACAATAAAGATAAATTTTAAAAAATGGCTATAAGATCATAAGTGGTTTTTTCCCTAATATATAATTTTAATTTCCCGATTTTTCTATAAAGAGTATGAATTGTTTTTATAATAGAAACATTTTGTGTGTGTTTGTTTGGTTTAGTGTGGTTCTAAGGAGGGGTTTGGATTATCTGATCTTTGAGATCTCTTTCAACTCTGAAATCCTTTGAAATATATTCTAATTCTTTGATATCCAGGGTGTCTACTTTAACTTTATCATTTGCCATCTTAGGCAAGAGGAGACCAGTGGATATGATTTTGCCCTGACGCTTTTCATGATCCTTATCATTCCAGGTAGCATTTCCGGGAAACTTGCAGCTCATATTCATCCTTCGTCCATCTCGCTTTATCCAGAGGACAATCACTGACATTGGCATTAAATATTATCGAGATGAATTTAAAATGAAAGTACCGGTGAGCATGACCTTTTATCTTGTCTTCACTTGGTTAGGTCAAGTGGAGAAGATGGCATGGGGCTGAGTTTTTAAGAAGATCGGACTCTACAGGTAGAGAGGGAGAGAAGGACATCTGGGCAGAGGGAGCAGCGTGTGGAAAGACTTGGAGGCAGAGAACACACTTTATGTGAGGTTCATGGGGAAGCCCCTTGTTGGAATACATATAGGATAATCTTTTGGAAGAAAAGGTAGAATAAATGAAATAGGTCTTACATGTAAGGATAAAGGGTCTGGATTTTATTTGTTAGGCAGTGGGGATCCCATGAAGGTTTTGGAGCTGAAAAGTGACTTGGGTAAGTAGTACATACTGGAATCATATCAATCTGAAGGTGGTTTCCAAGACTGTACAAGGAGATTGAAGGATGGAGAAAAATTGTAGTAGTATGGGTGAAAGAAAATAAGGATCTAAAATATGGTGTGACATATATCTAGGCAACTGTAGAGTAAAAATAAACACCAACATTGTGATACTCATAAGAGGAAATCAAATTAAAATGACAAGATTAAAAATTTTTATTTTATTTTTTTATTCTCACCCAAGGACATTTTTCCATTTTTTGTTCAGATAGAGAGGGAGGGAGGGAGAGAGGGAGGGAGAGAGAGAGAAACATTGACGTGAAAGGGACACATCGAGTGGCTGCCACCCCACACAACCCAACCAGGGCTGGGGACATACTGCAACCAAGGTATGTGCCCTTAGCGGTAACCAGACCCGGGTCTCTCTGGACCGCAGGCTGATGCTCTAACCGCTGAGCCAAACTGGCCAGGCGACAAGATTAAAAGTTTTCCTATAACTTTGGCAGAGATGTGGGGAAAACAGCACTTGCATACTTTACTGATAACCAATATGAAGGACTAATTGGCAGTGTTTATCAAAAATTAAAGTGTAAATACTCTTTGACCTACCTATAAAAGTTATTCTACAGATACTTTCATACATGTGCAACAAAAATACATATACAGTGATATTCATTACCAAATTGTTTGTAATAATAAGTACTTGGAAACAGCTTAATGCCAAACAACAGGGACTGGTTAAATAAATTATGGTCTACTCAATCATTATAACACTTTGCAGCTGTTGAAAGTAGCAAGGTATGGTACAACCACAGTGGAAACAGTTGGCAGTTCCTTATAAAGTTAAATATATATCTAACTTATGACCCACCCAAGAGAAATGAAAACATGTCCACAAAACAGCATATACAAGAATGTCCATCAGCAGGTGAATGGATGAAGAAATTGTGACACAGAAAGATAAATATTGTAAAATATCACTTATATGTGGAATCTAAAAACAAAACAAACAAGTCAACGAAACAAAACAGAAACAGACTCATAGATACAGAGAATAAACTAATGGTTGCCAGAGGGGCAGGGGTGGGGCTATCAGTGAAAAAGGTGAAGGGAAATAAGTGGTACAACCTTCCAGTGACTAAATATATAAGTCGTGGGATGTAATGTATAGCACAGGGAAAATAGTCAACAATATCATAATAATTTTGTATGGTGACAGATGGTTACTAGACTTATTGTAGTGATCACATTGTAAGATATATTAATGTCTAATCACTATGCGGTACACCTGAAACTAATATATTGTATGTCAACTATACTTTAACAAAAAATGAATTATATTAAAGAAATTGTGGCATATTCATATAATGGAATAACATTAAGCAATAAAAAGGAATGAAATATTGATACATGCAACAGCAATGGATGCATCTCAAAAATATTCTCGAGAGAAAAAAGTTAGATACTAATGAGTACATACTCTGTGATTCTTTTTATATAAAGTTCAAGAAGAGGTGAACTAAGCTATGGTAGATAGAAAGTCAAACAGTGACTGCTGTTAGGGGTGAGGGGTAGTGGATATTGATTGGAAGGAGGTACAGGGAACTTTCTGGGAAAATGTACTATATCTTGATTGGATGGTGTTACATGTGTGTATACATTTGTCAAAACTAATTTAACTATATTCTTAAAATCTGTGCATTTTTAAATGTAAATATCCATTGGGAAAAAAAAACAAAAAAAAAAGATAAATCTATAGTGTTAGAGAAAAGTTTCTAATATATGTTTCTGATTTAGTTGGAAATAATTTGAATCTCATAAAAAAAAATTCAAGAATAATAGTAGTAAATAAATATTTCATGCTCTTTACCTAAATTCATTTACCTATTATTAACATTTTATCTTCATTTGCTTTATTATTTATTATTTGCTTCTCTCTATTATATATAGATTCATACATTTTCTCTATATTACATATTATATTAGATGTTAACATAATCAATATATGTATTATTACATTAATATATTATGTCATATATTAATACATATCTAAATATTTGTATTTATATAGTATAAATAATATATCGCATATATGGAGAGGTAAATATACATGTAAAGATATACACATAGTAAATGATTGGAAAAAATGCCCAACAATAGGGGACTAGTAAAAATAAATGGTTTACCCAATCAATTAAGTGTTTTGATAATACTTAATGTATACTTAAATACTTTAATAAATATATACAAAGAAGAATACAGCCCTGACCGGTTTAGCTCAGTGGTTAGAGTGTCAGCCCATGGACCAATGAGTTTCATGTTCGATTCTTGTCAAGGGCACGTACCTGGGTTGTGTTTATCCCTGGCCCTGATCAGGGTCGTGTGGGAGGCAACCAGTTGATGTGTCCCTCTCATGTTGATGTTTCTCTCTCTTTCCCTCCCTCCCACTCTATCTGAAGATAAATAGAAAAAAAATGTTCTCAGGTGAGGATTGAAAAAAAATTAAAGAAAAAGGATATGTATACCCTTTCATACATACTTTTAGCTATTAAGGACATTCATTACAAGATTATAGGTATAGGTATACATGTAATAGGTATATGTGCAAATGTATGTAAGATTAAGTAGTGCATTTAGTTGTCATGTCTCCGTAGTCTCCATTAATCTAAACCATTTCCACAGCCTTTCTTTGTCTTAATTACATTAGCATATATTTAGTGTGTGTGTGTATTAAAGCTTTTTTTGTTTTGTTTAGAGAGAGGAAGGGAGAGGGAGAGATAGATAGAAATATCAATGGAGAGAAACACTGATTGGCTGCCTCCTGCACACCCCCTACTGGAGATCAAACCTGTAACTGGGGCATGTGCCCTGACCAGAAATTGAACCAGCGACTTCTTGGTGTGTGGGTCAATGCTCAACCACTGAGCCATACTGGCTGGGCAACATTAGCATTTTTAAAGAATATAGTCCTTTAAGAAAAATAAAACACACTTCATCTGAGTCTCCTGTGATGGCTTCTCAGGATTCAACTCGGTTTATGCTGAAACACTACTTAATTGATGTCATGTATTTTTCAGGGTATCACATCTGCTCCTCGCTGGTTATGTTAATTTTGATCCCCCTAGTCAAGGTGTTGTTCAAAATTTCAAATGTATTATGTTTTTCCTTGAAGATAATAAGCTATCTTTGGAGAGATGCTTTAAGACCATACAAATATCCTACTACTAAAAAACAAAACAAAACAAAAAAAAAACCCTCTCTATAATTAATAACCACTGATGATTCTTGCCTAAAATAACCTTTATTATTGGTTGCAAAATAGTGATTTTTCAGTTCTAACACTCTTTCAACATTTACTGATCAGAAGTTGGTTTCCTACTGTAATGTAGAAATTCCCTTCTCTCCTACTTATTTGTCTATTATCAATATAGATTCTTATTTTTTCAATGGTTTATAATTCATTACTATTCTTAATTATTTTGGTTCTCAAATTGTCCCAGATTTGGCCAGTAGGAGCCACTTCAAGCTGGCCCCTATGTTCTTGTGACATGCCTTTATCATTTCTTTTTTTAAATCCTCACCCAGGGATACTTTTCCATTTATCTTCAGATACAGTGGGAAGGAGGGAGGGAGAGAGAGAGAAACATTGATATGAGAGAGACACATTGACTAGTTGCCTCCCACAACGACCCGACCAGGGCCAATGATCAAACCGCAACCAAGGTATATGCCCTTGATTGGAATTGAACCCACGACTCTTTGGTCTGCAGGCCAACACTCTAACCACTGCGCCAAACAGTCCAGGGCTCTTTTTTTTTTTTCAGTATTTCCTTACTTCCTGTCTTAATATGATCTTCCAAGCTCGTCTCATACATAATGCAGCAGCCCTAATTCTATCCTGTAGTTAGTCATGTCTCTGAGGAGCTGTGGTTCCTTTTGGTGGTAAATTGGACCAAGATCTGGATGCTGGGTGTCCTGTTACTACTCAGGTGTTTTTACTTCTAGGCCCTTTCAGTAGAGTCTATACATATATGCACATATGTGTGCATATACACACATATTTGTGATTACATATACACATTGTATGCACACATATATATTATGCATACATATATGTGTATATAAATATACATGTGTGTATATATATATATGAATCATAGAATTCACACTGATACCTTAAATTTTAGTTCATCTAAGATATATTTTTTAATGGGGATTAAAAGCAAAGGGAGACTGGTATGTATAGTGTGTTCCCACTTGAATAAAATAGGAGGGGCATATATATCGATCACATCAGGGAGGATATCTGAGATATACAAGAAACTGGTGAACGTGGTTGCCTCCTGGATGTAGCAGGCCTGAGCGTAGGGTAAGAGGAAGATTGTTTTTCTATGTGATAGACTCTTTTTTTCTGTTTGGATTTATTACCACCTATACAATTAGTTGTTCAAAATAGCAACAAACCCCACTTTTAAAATTAATTTATTTATTTTTGTTACAGATGTTTCTCCTTTTCCCCCCACTGATTCCCCCCCACCCTCCCTCCCTGCCCTGTCCCCAGCTTTGTTGTCCATGTCCATTGTCCATGCATACATGCATGTAAGTTCTGTGGTTTAGCTCTCCCCCACCACCCCCTCTTCTGGGGATTGTCAGTCTGTACCCCACTTCCACGTATCTGGGACTACCCCATTCCTCAGACTGTTATGTTCATTATATTCCACAAATAAGTGAGATCATATGATACTTGTCTTTCTCTGACAAACCCCACTTTAATTGAAATTACTCTGAGAAAATATTTAACTCATCTCAGTGATAACTGACTATCTCGGACAAGGAATTTTTCTCACTTTTTCTCTTTCCCTTTTCACTCTTATTTTTTCTATTTTGGGTTCCATTTTATATTAATAATCAAATTTATTGAAATACCTCCTTCCTATACTTTGGACTCAAAATGAATTTCTCATTCTATTTTAAATACTTATTTAAAAATATTTAGGTGTTTAAGGGAAATATAAGCCATGCATTTCTTATTCTGTTTTCCTGAACTGGGTAGCAATTAATATTGGGGAAAAATGATGACTTATAAGAAGTTAATGAATTTGCTATAATACTCATAAGCTTTCTTCCCCTTTGGAGATGAAGAGTAGTCAGTTGCTTCTTGTCACTCAAGAGGGTTTGGAGTTAGAACTGAGCATTTGACCAAATGTCATAGGTGTTTGTCTCCCTGGTGGTGTACAAAACACACCTCTCTGTGTGATAATATGTACACAGATACATGTGTGATTTATGCCCTGCTTCTTATGTGGTGTATCTACATACTAAGGAGAGAATGGACACCTACTTTATCTTGATACTCTGTCTTTGGTTACTTCTATTTGTGGTAATGTGTTGATTCCCTACCCATCATACTTTTCATTTTAAACTAGAATCCACTTTTTAGAAAACTCTCAGTCATCCAAACCATTGACAGATTTAACAGGGTATTTTTAATGCAAAAAGTTTATCATGTAGGCTACTATTTCACCTTACAGAGAAGACTGCATTCTCCTCATAGCTCAGATATGCCACAGAATTCAGAGTCCTAGGTTACCAAGCTTGATGTAATCAAATTTCAAAATGTATTTTGTTTTTAGATGACAGTTCAGGCAGTTGATTGTTGTCTTTACTTTGTTTTATTATTTTTTTTCTTTATTGATTTCAGAGAGAGAGGAAGGGGGAGGGGGAGAGAGAGATAGAAACATCGATGACAGAGAGCATCCATTGGCTACCACCTGCATGCCCCCCACTGGGGATTTGGCCCACAACCTGGGCATGTGCCCTGTCTGGGAATTGAACCAGCGACCTCTTGGTGCATGGGTCGATGCTCAGCTACTGTACCACACCAGCCGGGCTCTTTACTTTGTTTTAAAAACATGATTGTGATATTAGCACTTTGCTTTGTAGTGCCCTGTCCTGTACTATTGTAACATCTCTCTGCTCGTTTCTAGTGAGATAGTAGTTATGCTTTCAATGGTTGAGTGAGGGGAAAGGAGTTCATTTTGCATGTCTCTTACAAGAAGCTGGTGGATCGGGATATAATGGTAGTTAAGTCACTTAGTCTCACTGTACCTTTACCCAAGGAGAGGATAGTGTTGAAATAGCAAAGGGTCTCTCAGTGCCAAGTGCTGGCATGTATCCATTCTATAACAGCTATATTCATAGCAGCCTCATAAAATTGTTGTGAAGTGGCTAAGGCAGCCTTGTCAAATCCTTAGAGGCTATGGACATGCAAATTGGTTTCTTAAAATGGAGTGTGTGACAGAGTACAGGATACGCTTCTTTCATAATTAAAAGATCACATATCTCCTTGAAATAACAGCTTTAAGCAATTATAGATAAGAACATAAATGTATACTGAAAAGGAATATTCTTAATATGTAACAGCTGTTCTAAGAATGTACATGTTGGATATGGTACAGTAAGGCTGGTGGTGCCCCAGGAGGAAATGAGAATGAGCTTGAAGGACAGAGTTTATTATACTCACAGGTCTCAGAGAGGGGTCATCTCATGTCACCCAAGCCTGCAGGGGAAGCACCTGGTTTTGTCCAGAAAGCAGAAGCAGGATGAAGGGAAAGGCCTAAATCAGAGTCTTTTTGGGCTTTCCACAAAAAAGATGAGAAAGCAGAGCCGTGGCGAGTGTGGAATGCACACCTCCCTCTCCTTCCAGGGAGGGGGAACGGAAGACATGCAGCCTGGCAAGACACATTTCTGAAAGTCCAGGCTGTGGGGCCAAGTTATGTCTGCCCAATATGATGTAGCATAATGGTATTTATTAAAAAAAAATTCCCAGTGTTACCATAGCTGCTAATGTTCTGAGAAGAAAAGAGTTGATTTTCACTTGATAATTTCTTGTTATGTGTCCTATAATTTCATATTGTAGAAAGACTAAAAATCTTTTGAAATTCACAAAAGTAATTTAAAATTTTTGGAAAGAAAGGCACAGATGGATTCAAATGGGTTTTTTTTGTTGTTGTTGTTTTTTCTTTTTCTCATATTATAAGACTATTTTTTAAAATTCCCAAACTGTTTCAGAAATGAAGGAGAAAGTCCTGGGGCCAGGTGAGATTAACAGAGTGATCTATGGTAACCACATCCCACTAAACCTAAGTTTCTCAAAGGCAGAGCCGTCATGTTTGCTATTCTGTCCCTCAGAGCCTGGCATTTATTAGAAACTCTTTGCATATTTCTTGAATGAATAAATCCATTTTATTTTTACCCATAGATTTGGGTCCCTAGCTTGTATTGTTTTCATTCCAAAGTGGACATATCACTTGACTAACACATATAATAATAGAAGAAAGCCTATATTCTTTTGTTCTCTGATCAAGAATCGATTTTCAAAATAATCAACAAGGAGTGGAGAAATATAAGGTCATTAGATAAAGGCTTCAGGGATGCATTTCAGAGATAGGAATGAGGGTCTATGCTCCTGGTCAGGAGTGAGTAGGGGTGTAGTATAGAGCCTGGGACAGAGAGCCAGGGCCTCCTGCGGGCAGTTTGCAGTGTGTCATCTTCCTCTAGATGTGTGGGCATTCACGCATCGGCATGGGTGTGTTCCCCAGCTGGACAGTTGATTCATGAAAACCCACTCCCGGTTACCTTAGAATCTCCTTCATAAAGATAAATTGGGGGTACAGCAACGTTCTTCATGGAGTGCATTGACACAGTGGATCTTTTTAATACATACTCCTCAGTAGGTCCCTGTATTATAGTTTTATTTTTATATTCACCAGCCCACCCTTTATTGGGATTCTCATCACAGATTTTTAGGTCTCAATATAGCACTTGATTTTAGAGGCTGAAGAGTATTCCTTAACCTGGGAACGACCGAAAAAATTCATCTCCAGCAAGACCTGACATCTAGGTAGCTTAGATTGAGCTCCCTGGTCCAAGTCACTTCTTTGTCACAGACTATTCAACACTTTTGTATTCTTCTATCAAAGGGGGAAAATGGGAAAGGGACTTTCTCTGCTGGATGTAATAACCATTTGGGATATAAATGTGTGAGAAGGCAAAGTCCAAGTACTGTTTAAATAACAGGATCTAGATAAGCTACTCTTTAATTACCTGTGAGGAATATATTAATTTTTTTCCTCTTATAGATCGTTATGTTAAATTCTGTCTCTGACCTTCAAGGCTACATTGACAAAAGCCAACTGACAGAGGACTTGGGGGGAACTTTAGACTATCGTCACAGTCAGTGGATAAATCATCGAACTGTGAGTAGCAACTTGTGTGCCCTTACCACAGTCTCTCCTTGTTTTCCGGAAGACGGGGGAGTTGAAAATAAATTGCTGGGAGCTCATTGACTATGATGATCTAACACTGGGGAGGTTGGGTTTTCCAAGCTGAGGGCTGGGGGCAGGAAATAGGGTGAAGGGAGAAGACTGGAGTTTCTCCTGCTGACTACCTTCACCTCATCTCATTTCCTGGCATGGGAATTTTGGGGACTCAACTTAGAGTGCACTTGGAGAATTTTCAAAATACCAGTATCCTGCTACACCTCAGAGAAATTAATTTACTTGCCTTGGGATGGGTCTCCATCATTAGTGTCTCACCAAACTCCCCAGATGACTCTAATGCATGGACAGATGGAAAGTTGTGAAAGCACCTGACTTACTCAAATTGGTAGTTATTATGCTAAATGAGAAGGGTCAGTAATATTGAGGGAAAAGTAAAATTGAAACTCACAAATAATGTGTTTCTATATAAAGTTGTCATTCCCCTTTCCGTGCTCTTTTAGCCCCTATACCCTTAAAAAATGAGATTTTCTGAGCACGATCAGAAGCTCCATTCATCACCCTGACGACAACCTGTGGTGTCATCGCAGCCCTCTGTATCTGGCCACTTTGGAAACATGTTGCCCAACACTAAACCACATTTAATTAGCTACCAGAATTCTCCTTGTTTTAGAGTGAAATGTCTTGTGATTTAAAAAAAAAAAAATTATTTTTTATCCTCATCTGTGGACATTTTTGCACTTTATCTTGAGATATAGAGTGTGAGGGAGAGAAGGAGGAAGAGAGAGAAAGAAACATCCATGTGAGAGAGACACATCAAATGGTCGCCACCCACATGACCCCAACCGGGGCCGGGGACAAACTGCAACCAAGGCACGTGCCCTTGTAGCAGGAACCGAACCTGGGCCTCCCTGGTCTGTGGACCGACGCTCCAACTGCTGGGCCAAACCAGCCAGGGCTCTTGTGATTTTTAAAAAAAGGAAATTTAAGAATTAAAATAGATTTCTAGCAAGACAATTTCAAAGTGACAGATTCTAATCCCTCCCTCACTTCTTCACATGCCATGGAATTTCAGAGAAGGCACATCCCTTCCCAAAACATAGAGGAGAGCCCACGGACTGGGAAAGAATCCCTTAAACTTCTCATCAGTTTCATCATAATAACAGTGACTCCAAGAGAATCTTATATTTAAAGAAAGGAATGTAAAATTCTTCACAAACGTGCAATTCTAAATCAGCCTACAGAGGAGCTGTGGAGGGAAGCCGAGTTAGAGCATCCTCCATGAGTGTGACGAGGCTCGTCCAGGATGCAGTCAAACCATCATGTTAAATGTGGAGCCTTCGTGCCTTCTAGGCTTTCCTTCTTCACTCGCTAGATTTTTAATACATTACTTTAAACATTAAAATAAATCTACTATCCCACCAGCTTTATTGGGCCAGCCAGTTCTCCCTTTTGCTCTGATTTCTCTACCTGTTCTGTATTTTATTGTGCTGCTCATGTTTTTCAAGTTGCCTTCGATTTTTTTTTTAAATAACACAAACTTGCAACAAATAAAGAAAAAAATGCACCTTGACATGAAAGACAAAAACAGTTGTAGAGAGGTACAGATAACTGAGGTCACAAAGATTTATTATTATTATTATTATTATTTTTTAATCCTCACCTGAGGATATTTTTCCATTTATCTTCAGATACAGCAGGGGGAAGAGAGAGGGAGAGACAGAGGGAAACATCGAAGTGAGAGAGACATATTGATTGGTTGCCTCCCACACGACCCTGACCAGGGCTGAAGACGAACCGCAACCAAGGTATGTGCTCTTGGCCATAACCGAACCCAGGACCCTTTCGTCCATGGGCCGACGCTCTAACCACTGAGCTAAACCAGCCAGGGCAAGATTTATTATTTAAAGACATGACATGAGCAGACATGCACACACATCCCCCTCCCCCCAGGCCTAGTTTTTATCCATGGTTTGGTGTGTGTGCATGTGTTAAACATAATATAGTGAACTTCAAAAAATACAACTAGTATTGAAACATCAGAGATATTCTTTACATACTTTTTGCATGATTTATGTATATATTTGCATGTTTTATGTATATATTTTATATATACACATATATAATTAGAAATATGTATTCACAATATATACATTATCTTATATCGAATGGATATGTAGATTTTTTTGATAACAGTGTGTTTTCTGGATGTTCAATCTTTGAAACTCATAAAAAGTTCGAACTGAAAAGAACCTTAAAGATCATTTATTTCCAGACTGACAAAAATCAGAAGAGGGTGGTGGTGGGGAGAATAAACCACAGAATGTATATGCATATATACATAAACATGGACATAGACAATAATGCTGGGGCTGAGGTCGGGATTGGGAGGAGGGTGTCAATGGGGGGAAAAGGAGAAACATCTAAAACAAAATAAATTTAAACTAAAACAAAAAAAATATTACCCACCCCCCCCAAAAAAAAGATCATTTATTTCAATCACCTTATTTTATAGGTAAGGAAACTGACTTTCAGAGTAAAAAGGTGACTTATTCAGGGTCCTGTGGTCAAGTAGTGGCAGAGCCAAGACTAAGGCCAAGCTTTTTTTTTATCACCCTATCAGGATAAGGTGCTCTGTACCACTTCCAAGGATTATTCACGAATCAGACACATTGAATCAAGTTAGTTTGTTAATAGGACCCTCTGTGGGAAACCTCTGGCTTTCCTCTGTTTCCAGGATGACATCTGCAGGCCTCACGCCTGACTCTCTGAGTTATTGCTGTTATTATTATCAGACTTGTAAGGCACTCTGCTGTGTCCAGAATCCTTTCCCATTTGTTATTCCTTTTGGTCCTCAAAGAACCCCTGCAGAAACAGAGCCAGCATCACCCCTATGAGGGCCTGGGACTCAAAGGCATTACGTAGCTCACCCAGGATCACACAGTTAGCAATTATCAGCATCTGGACTCTAATTTAAGTGTTCAGTTCTCAAAGCCGAGTCTTTTGTGTATCTAGTTTTAAATCTAGGTTTATTAAAACTCATTTTGACTGCCAAGAGGTAACATTGTGCTTAAGAATGCTAGCCCTGAGCCAGATTATCCAGGTTCAATCCCAGTTCTGCTGCTTGTGGTTTGTATGACTTTGGGGAAATTGCTTAACCTCAATATACCTCAGTTTCCTCACATATAGAATGCAGGGTGGTGATCAGAATAATACCTAACTGAGATACATTATAAGAGATAGTGCATGTAAAACAAAATACTGAATAATCTCATATTTTCTAATTCCCTGATAAATTGGCATTTTTATATATTATTCATCATAGGCTATTAGTGAATACAGTTAAAAGAGTATCTTTAAAAAAGTATCTTATATGGATATTAGATTATGTTAAAGTGATAACACTTTGATGTACTTGAAAGAACAATTTTTTAAAAAGTTAATGTTGGTCTGATTTTTCAGACCTAAAGAACTGTGATGTTCAAGATTGTTGCTATATCAAAACAAACTCATAGATATAGAGAACAAATGGATGGTTGCTAGATGGGGGTGGGGTATGAAAAGGTGAAAGGGATTAAGAAGTACAAATGGACAATTATAAAAAGAGTCACAGGGATGTAAAGTACAGCATAGGGAATATAGTCAATAATATTGTAATAAATATATATAGTGTCATATGGGTACTAGACTTATCATGGTTATCACTTTGTAAGTTATATAAATGTTTAATCATATGTTATACATCTGAAACTAATATAATATTGTGTCAACAGTAATTGAAAAAAAAAATTTAAGACTGTTGCTTTATCAGTGCTTGTGCTAATAGGGGAGATTCCACCCACAGCAGTGTGTGAAGGGTTGGTGGAAAGGGTTGATGTGGGGAAGACTTTGGGTTTAGACAGCAGGGGGCGGTGTGCTGTGCTCCAGAAGCCCGATCATGCCAGCCTCAGCCCTGGCCTCTGGTGTAAAGAAGGGCCACCTCAGATCTGGCACATTCTTTATGAGGTGCGTTTGGGTTTGTAGAAATGTTCTCTGATGATGTAGGAACAGAAATAACTTCTCAAATGGAAATTAGGCTGGGCCTCTTTGTTCTTATGATTCATCCATTCAGTAGTTGTTTAGGCCAACTGTGTGACAGGCACAGTACCGTGCTCTGGAGGAACAGATGAATGTGACATTGTGCTCGCCCTTCAAGGACAAAATTGTCTCAGGAGCAGAGGGAAGTGGGCAAGACAGTGGCAGTCTGGCTGAGTGGAATGATTTGGGGGACTCTAAAAAGCCACTCACCTTCAGCTAACTCTCCTGATAGTGTCACTTTTTCTAGGTTAGGCCACATTTCCTAAAGCACTCTGCTAAAATGCAGGTATCTCACCTTGGATTTTAGCTTCAAAGTCACCACTCAATAGCAGGTATTTATTTAATGGTAGGGTAGGGTCTGTGAGTGCAAGGGACACAGGACAAGGTAAATTTCTATAAAGGAGAAGAGAGAGGAAGAGGCCCCCAATCTCTCCCCAGATGTGACAGAAATGACTCTAGTGACCTAATCACTGCATTCATTTTTACCCCCAATGTCATGTTCTCTCCGCAGCATTGAACACGTTTCTCCGAGGCAGCCTGGCTGTGTGTACAGGGGCTGGGGAGGATAGAGGGCCGTGTGGGGGCTAAATGAGAAGGAGGGGCTTATTAGATGGAGGGGTGAGTGGCCCTGCCCTTTCCAGCATTTTACCTAACGTAAATCCTGAGTCAGATTTAATGTCACGTGTTCTTAAGATAATGAGCAAGCATTCTGAAATGGAGAGAGCAGACCTTGTTTGAATCCTGCCCGCCTTCCTTTCTTACTGCTCAAGTGATAGGATCTTGGGCAGCTCACTTGACGTGTTGGAGTCCTCTTTTCTATACAATGGAGATAACCTACCTCCCACTCTGAATTATTGAGATGACAGGCAAACACATAGCTGGGTGTAACACATAGCCCTTTGTAGGTACTCAGGAAATGGTAGCTAATTCTACTGTCCCTCCACTGATAAAGCATATTGGCGAACGTTAATCCCTCCAACTATTATGATTGTCTGACCTTCCAGGCCATTGAAAATTTTGCCTTGACATTGAAGACCACTGCCCAGATGCTTCAGGCGTTTGGGGCCCGCCTGGCCATGACAGAGCTGCCCAGAGGCGTGCCATCCACTGAAGAGCTTCTCAATTCCCACACAAGGCAGCGGGACAAGCTGCAGGTGAGTGGTCAGTGGCCTCTCAGAGTCCAGACTCTGTGCCAGCAGATAGTCAGCCTCCTGGGAGAGCCAGGAGCAGAATTAAGTCCTCTTCTCCAGCTACTTGGAAGCTACTGAACATCCTCAACCTCCAGGGTAGGCCGTATGTGAAGAGAAAAATCTCCCTGAGACTGGGTGGTGCATGTCAAAGGATTGCCATTCAGACCTGTGGGAAGCATCCCAGCCAAGAGGAGCTCGTTCCAGCTTTGTGCTGGTGAGACGAGGTGTGCGAGGCTCCTTTCAAGGGCAGCACTCCTGTGATCTGCTCAGGACAGAGCACGAGACATGGCGGAAACTGCAGTGAGAGCAGGGAGTTGGCCTTTGAAGCATAAGACTTTCCGTGGCGGTTGTGAAATCTGGGGACAGACTACTAAGCTGACATATTGCCTCACTTTCTCAGGGATGTGTCTTTTTATTTGGCAATTAATTTGAGAGAGAGGACTGAGCTGGGTTAAGGAGAGGCACCTATTAAATGATTCACAAGAGTACGTCAGAATTGTCTTTATGAGTTGCTGATGAGAGAGCTTGGCAGGTTCTTTCATGCAGTCAAGGGAAGTCTTCTTGGGGCCGACTGGATGGGTGTAAGCCCCTTTCTGCCTCCAGACACACAAACAGGCTAATGACTGAATCCATTATTTCACAGAAGACCAGAACTCAAGAGGGCAGCAAATAGAATTAGAAGGTTGAGACGTCTTAGCATCACATGTACTCTGGCTGCATGGAGCCTGGGAAGAGCTGACCTTTTCTCTGTGACCCAAAATCTGCAAAACTGCTTTGCTAAGTGGTTGATTTGTTTATTTTTCAACATTCATTGACTACTCATCACCACATGCCAGGAAAACAAACTAAGACTACAAACTCAAGGAGTACGCACAGTTTAGTTACAGGAGTATCACGGTCTCGTAATTGAGGCAAATTAATTCTTCCACATGTCAGGGAGCACTGTTCAATTATCTTTCTAAGGAGCTTGATATTGAAAAAGAGTTAAATATATATCCCCAAGATTACTCTGAGTAACCAAAAGATCTGGATTGGAACTGTGAAAGCCTGAAAGCGTCCTGGAAATTTCCCCCAAAATCTCTCTTAAACATCTGACCTTTTGTGTGTGTGGTTTATTTTTGCCCAAGTTCACCTCCTCTGACTATTGGAAGAGATGGTGTGGGTGCAGAAGGCCAGGTCGAGGGTGCCTCTGTTAAGTCTGCCAGAAAAGGGTCACAGACCACAGGAGCCTGCAGAGCCGTCAGTTCGTACACTGATGTGACGGTGAGAATGTTGAGCGTGGCAGGAAGGCCCTAAGACAGCAGTAAGATAACTGCAAACCCAATGTATATATGTACTTTCCTTACCCTGTTTAGGACCCTCCAGTCTATTTCTTAGCAGAACAGCTCTTCTTATTGCCTTAACCCCAGCTGGTTGTAGAAGCAGTTCACAGAGACAGGCAGTCTCTCTGTTGAGCCCCAAAGAAGGTAATTCTTACCTCTTTGCTGATCTTATTTAGGCCAGAAACACAGGACATTGGCCTTCCCTGCTTAGGTGCTTTTATCAACTAAGACACTATACCATGTGTTGATTTGAAGAGGGCAAGACTCTCATTTTTGTTGTTGCTAAAATAACTTTAACAAAGCCACAAGCCTTTTCTCATCATGCAAGGAGAGAGAGGAAAGTGCAGGTGGCTCTTCAATCATGTGACAGGCAATCTTTACAGGTATGAATACTGCTTAGTATTCAGTATTTGTTCCATTCAGTATCCATGCAATTTTGTATTCAGAGATGACAATTCCATCAATATTATCATGGTAACAAATAATCAAGAAGATAATCAGAATTACATAGGCTCTAGAGATAATTTTATAGTCTTAAGAGTTTTTAAGACTCCTTTGTTCAGGCGTGTCTACAAACGTGATGCTCCAAGTGATGCGGAGCGTTGGGCCATGGCCTGCAGCTGCGTGCTGCCTGGTCACCCGCCCGGCCTTGCCCAGTGGCCCCGGGGCCTGAGCGTAGTGTGAACACTGCACAACGGCCCCAATCTGCTCTCAGTGCGTAAATTCACACAAATACATGACTGGATAACAACAGAAATGGTATTAGAACCGTGGGAATCAGCAATTTTGCACAGGAAGCTTTGGGAGATGTTATTTACTATAGTCTGCCTGAAATTGGGACAAAATTGAACAAACAAGATGAGTTCAGTGCCTTGGAAAGTATGAAAGTCACTGGTAAACTCTGTTCTCCTCCTATCAGGAGAAGTAACTGAAATTAATAAAACTCTTGTGGAAAATCCAGGACTCGTCAACAAATCTTGTTATGAAGATGGCTGATCAAGATGACACAGTAACCCTTCAGAACTAGATGGACTAGTGAGTGAAGAAGTATGAGAAATACATGAAATCTATTGAGGAGTGAAAATGGAACCCACTAAATAAAGGAGCATGCAACAACTTTAAAAGAAAAAAAAAAAAAAGGACCCCTTTGTTCAAACTCCACTTGCAGAGAACACAAGTTAGAAGTGAACAGGCATAGAGGTCTCAGTTTTGCACAGGAAGACACAATTGGTGTTCTTATGACTAGGTTCAGTATTAATGCCTTTACACATCAATGTAATTCACTGGAAGATCTTGCTCAGTAGCTGCTGAGGAAAGAGGACACCTTGTGTCTTTCAGGGACTTCTTTTTTCCTAAATGATGAAGACTGGCGTTTTTAAAGGCCAGATTCTGGAATTTATTAGTTAACAACACATAACACAGTAGAGCCAACTTTTAGTGGCAGAAATGGGGTAAATAATAAGTTAAATAAGGATGATAAAGCATTAATCACTCATATTCTCTCTGAGCCGCAGGCCAAGGCTCTAACCGCTGAGCCAAACTGGCCAGGGCCACTCATATTCTCTAGGCTCTGATTCATTCTTTTACTTCTCAACCCCTCCACTCTCAGCCCATGACAGCTGAGCACAGTGCCTAGCATGTAATAATAGATCTTTATAAATACATTTTAAACAAATGTCACAATTCATGCTTACCATGTCATAGGAAAGAATTTCCTCCAAAATTTTTTGAGCCTGAAGAAGTCCCCTGTACCCTGTTAAGTGAGTCTTCTTCTGAACCAATTGCTTGTTCCTATAGTGATGGAACCGTAATGAGGAGTCCACACTGGGACAGCCGTCTCCACTGTTGAAAGAGTTACCTGTTTACATCCCTTGAGTGCCCCACTCCACCTCCTTGGCCCACAAGACCTTCTCATTATTCTGGCAACTAAAGGATTAACACCTGGACCACAGTTGGTCTCAGGACTCTTTCAGCATTGCATCTGACACCTGTGCTGAGTGGTATGTGCCTGCTCTATGCAGATATTAAATATTTTGAATTGTCACTACTGTGGATGAGGGCAAATTCCACTTTGGGGCTGAGCAACTTACCTTTATGCTTTTCAAGTACCATAGTTCCTCATACTTGCTCTCTGTGTTCATGGCAGATTTTGGTAACTCTACTGAGGCTGTGGTCTAGTCCCAAAGCAGTAACCAGGTCATGAGTTTTCCTTGTGTTTTTTTAAACCACGTGAAGGGGATACATAGTATATAACATCACTCACTAAAATTCACCTTCCCTCTCTCACATGCTGCCTCACACTTTGCGGCCCTTTGGGTATATCTCTCTTCCAAGCTCCACTCTCTGTATGCCTCTTGTTTTCCAGCTCCTCCACCTTTCCTCCCGACTCTGCATCATGCGTGCACACACCCCCACACACATATGTGTGTGTGTGTGTGTGTGTGTGTGTGTATATATATATATATATATATTTTTTTTTTTTTTTTCCTAATAATGGCTAATGCCAGAATACTTCTGGAATGCTGGAAGCTCAGAGAAAAGCCTGGACCCATTTTAGTGGATAAGAAGAGGAGGAAAAAGCTAAGAGCACTTACTAATGAGTACTCCCCCCTGTCCCCAGCATATTTTGTCTATTCACCTGCAACCTGGTTTCTTTTAGACTATTATTAATTCATCCATCCTACAAATATTTAATGAACATTGATGAGATAAGAAGAAATGAGAGCTGATACCTAGAATGGAAAAGAAGGGACATGTCCAGTTCTCAGGCATGAATACCAGCCAAGTGGCTGACTTGGGGCATTACCTGGAGTGGACGGAGCCACAGCAGGTATCCAAAGAATCCTGAGGGGTTAGATCAGAGAAGTCATGAGGCTGGGTATGGACAATGGAGGCCTTCAAGTGGGTTGAATACTGGGGTGGGGTGGAAAGGAGCAAAGATATGAGGTTGAGAGTGCCAGACTTCTTTTTTTTTTTTTTTCCAGGAATAAAATTTATTAGCAAATGGAAACAACAATTTTTATGTAATCATAACACAAGTGGTTTCTTTAGGTCAAAATCATGGCATAAATCTATGAATGATTTGGTACAACTAAAGTACTTAAGTCGTTGAGAAAATATATTTATTTGATTAAATATGTTCAAATGCTTTTCCTATTAATGTTTTACAATTAATTTTCTTTCTTTCTTTTTCTTTTTTATCTTCACCCAAGGACATTTTTTCCATCTTCTATTTAGATAGAGTGGGAGGGAGAGAGAGAGAAACTTTGACATGAAAGGGACACATCGAGTGGCTGCCACCCGCGCGACCCAGCCAGGGCTGGGGACAAACTGCAACCAAAGTACATGCCCTTAGCGGGAACCGAACCCAGGTCTCTCCGCACTGCAGGCCAACCCTCTAACCGCTGAGCCAAGCCGGCCAGGGCTACAATTAATTTTCTTAAAATAATATGTTTTTCTACTGCTTAATCTTTGTCTTCCACTGGTCTTTCTTCCAAGGCAGATTAAAAAAAAAAAAAAATCAGTTCTATATCCTGAATATGATGATAACAGAACTACCTTATGGAAAAAAATATGTTTAAATATGAGGACTTCTTTGTGACCAGAGTGGAGAGTATAAAACTCCTCCCACAGGGAATGAGCGGGAGGCTGCATGAAGGCTGGAGGCCGCTGGGCCTAGAGGAAGAGAATCAGTGTCCATGTGTGATTGTTTTGTACCCCTGGAACTTTTCTAACTCTCAGAGCATACATACCAGCATCCTTTTTTAAAATCCTCATCTGAGGATATTTTTCTATTTATCTTCAGATACAATGGGAGGTAGGAAGGGAGAGAGAGAGAGAGAAACATCAATGTGAGAGAGACACATTAACTGGTTGCCTCCCACATGACCCCGACCAGAGCCGGGGATGAATCGCAACCAAGGTACGTGCCCTTGACCGGAATCAAACCCGTGACTCATTGGTCCACGGGCTGACGCTCTAACTGAGCCAAACCGGCCAGGAACCAAACTCAGAACTCCTGGGTGCAAAATTCTAGGCCAGGCTTCACTCCTTTTGCCGTTCCCTATGGTTAATGCTCATAGCATTGAAAGACACCTGCACTGTGTGAGTGAGTCAAGTACTCACATTTGGAAGGAGATAGCCTGACATCTTCCCCGATTGCAAAGCTCTAAGTCTCCTTGTAAAAAGAGCAGAATAAGGTTGCCTTGGAAGCATGAATCTTTCCAGGTCAAACTGAAATTGCTGCCCGCCTCCGCCAAACTTTTTGGAAGCAGGTGAAAAGAGCGGCAGATGTTAACTAATGATACCAGCTGAAGTTTTGTTTTGTTTTGTTTTGTTTCCTGGTCAACTAGCAATTATTACATTATTATTGCGTGGCAGTTCCCAGCATGTAACATTCAATACCTGTCATTTTCTTGTCTCTGGTCACTATCTTGAATTAGAACCAGTTTTTGTTAACTAATTTTGCTTTTAAAGTCCAACAGCTTGAGATATACACAAAATTTAACAGTTGTTGCTTTTGGAGAGGGCAAGTGGATGGCTATGGACAAAAGACTTGCTTCGATATATATCCTTTTGTATATTTTAAATTTTGTGTCATATGTGTGGATTACACATTAAGAATAAGTTAATTAATTTACAAATCTGCAGCTTGAATTTTTAGCATTTAATTCCCTAAGTGAAAGATATACTGATCTACCATTCTCCTTACTTTACATCTACCAAGAATTTTTTTCATTAATTTCTTTTTTCCCCCAATTGTTATAAATTTATTTTTGTTACAGATGTTTCTCATCCCCCCCTCCGACATCCTCCTCCCCATCCCACCCTCGTTAATTTCTTATAAGAGAGACAATATTTTTCTTTCTCTAGGATGAGCTAAAATTACTTGGAAAGCAGGGGGCCACATTGCTGTCATGTATCCAAGAACCAGCAACCAAAGATCCCATCCACAAACTCAGTGCCAATCAACTTGAGAATGTAGCTACCATGGAAAGGTGAGTGAGGAGGAATTCAGTTTTTTAAGGAGAGACTAGAACTAGGTGATCTGAAACAATTAAGGGCAGATTAGAACAGCTATTACTGGGTCTTGGTAGGGTCAAGAAAGAATAGTATTGGGAACAACACAGGAAAAAAGATGACACCCACCTGGCATCCAGCTACTGAGATGTGTTTATGAGAATGCCATTCCCTCCTCTTATGAAATGCTGTCATCCCGGGATTTCCAAGGAGAGGGTAGTATTGGTTGATTTCCATTCCCAAATGTCTGCGCGCTGTGCTTTGTCAGAGAAAAGGCACAAAGGTGAGGTTAGCAGGGGGCATACTTAAAGCCAGCTGCTGCCACGGAAGCAAAGTTTCTGCCTAGCACGGAAGGTGGCGTGACTGAGAAATAGAAGGGGGGAAGCAGTGGAACCATGAGGGTCGTAAGTGACGCAGACTTTCATAATAAGGACATTACCACGATTTAAAACCCTGTCTGAAAACACAGGTGTTAGCTACAGTAAGCCTATCCAGACTCCCGTGGAAAGCAATGGTAAACACAATGTCACTTTCTCATTCTTTCTTGACAGGTTGCTAGTTCAGTTGGATGAAACAGAAAAAGCCTTCAGTCACTTTTGGTCCAAGCATTACCTGAAGCTTAATCAATGGCTACAGCTACAGCACTTTGAGCACAATTTTTGTGAGGTGTTATTTCCTTGTTTAACAGAACTTCCTTTTATGTTCCGTGACCTCTGGTTCTCTCTTCTGACTTGAACTCTCGGTATCGGGATTTCTCTCCTCTCCCTCTTCCAGCCCCCGCCTTCCTCTCAGACTTCCTCTCTCACTTTCTCAGGGGGCCAGCCATGCTCTAGAATCCAATTTTCCTGTTGGTATATACATGGTATTTCCGTGATGGTTTATCTTCCTTTCCGATTGATAGTTTGTTGAATGTAGCTTCAATAGTCCATCTACATGTGTCTCAGCATCCCTGAGCCCGTCCCCCCCCCCCATTTAATCTGAAAGGTAATGAGCTGTGATATATGTACATTGGTCCTGAATCCTTTTTGGACTTTGAGTTTTCTTAGAGTATAGCAAACCTCTACCTCCATAAGCGTGCTCACCGGCTTGTTTCTGGACCGTCCTAATGTGTCTTGCAGGTTAAGCTTGCCCTGGACTGCTTGTTGGCGGAGCAAACAGAATTTACAACCATTGGAGACAGTGTGATGCATGTGGAGCAACTTCTTAAAAAGCACAGAACACTGGAAGGAAAAGGCCAGGTTTGTGTTTTGCTGTTTTTGTGAACTGGGAAGGTATTCACCGTGGACAGTGACAGATCATGCCCACTCATTGTCAGAAGGTTGCCCAAGGACACAGGAATGCCCAAAGCCGGCCCTGTCAGTCACCCACTCCCACCCCAGGTCCCCAAGGAGACATGCACATGCACAAGTGTGATGAGTAATGCCTGTTGGGCAAAGCTCTACGAAGGCTGCAGAGCACCCTGTGGAGGCTGAAGGCTCAAGTCGGTGGGAGCTCTGGGCAGCCGTGCTCCCACACAAGGTGTCCCTACCAGTGGAGAGCAGCAGGAGGGCAGGTGACGACGAACACTGGGCCAGATGTGGAGGCGTGGCCTAGAGCTTGGTGGTAGAGAAGGGAAACAAGAAAAGTAAAAACAAAACCAAAGACACTAGTTATACCAAGCAAGACAGTGAAAAGGGGGAATGGGTCCACATTAGTTCTATTGCTAACAGAGTTGGCAACACTTTCTCCTTCCTCCGGCCCCAAGAATTGTAAATATCAAAGTTGTAAAAGAAGATATATTTCACAATTCTCTTAACAGACTTGAACAGTTTTCCAGATCTGCACACAGGTCAGCACTCAGCAGTGATTCTATTTTAAGTCTTTATATATTTGGCTTAATACAACATAAAAAAAACCCAGTCTTCTCTTTCCAGAGAAGTTCCTTTCTGCTTTTCTTTAATTAGCTTCTCTATATTTTTGTCTCGGGGACCAGCTAGTCTGTGGTTAGCACTTCCTTTCTGAGCTAATCTAAAGGCATGTTCCCCCAAGGGTAATTTTGTAGTACTTACTAGATATTTGCTTTTCCAAGTGTGATCCTTTGGCCAGCAGCATAGATGTCACTTGAGTGAAAACTTGTTAGAAATAACGGAATTTCTGGCCCCACCTCAGAATCAGAATCTATATTTTAATAAGATCCTGAAGTGATTGACATACACATTATCGTTAGAGACATGCTCCCCTAAAGAACGGTAACAAATGTAAACCAAGGCCACTCTGGTTCTTAGAGCTGTCAGTTGTGGATTCTGAGCTGGATAACTACGCAAAGATTTGGGGAGTAGCATTCAAGGCAGAGAAGCTGCAAGTGCCAGGTCTTGAGGCAGGAATGAGGTCGGTGAGTTCAGGGAATGCAGCTGGAGCAGGTGAGCCAGGTCAGAACAAGGTGGGAGCACTGGCTGTGAGGATTGGATTTTATTCTCAGTGGAATGAGAAGGCGTTGCAGGGTGCACTGGTGTGTGTTTTAAATAGAGGGATGGAGCTGCATGACTGCATCTACATTCTCTCTTCTGCCCACCTCCTTGGACTTGTGACCTTTGGTACGTTCAAGATTGCTGACTGGAGCTAGAGGCACAGCCTATGGTCATGGGACATAGGAATACTCTGTGAACCCATGGCCCGTCTTTCATGAACAAAGTTCTCGAGCCAGCTGGACTAACCTACTGCAGATGAACCCAGGCAGGTTGTTTTTACCCATCTTGTGCCTTGCTTACCCTGTTTTTTACTTCATTTCTTTTTCTTTTAAGTCTTTATTGTTATAAGTATTACAGATTCCCCCCACACACATTGACACCCTCCTCCCCACTCCCATTCCCCACCTGTCTTCACCACACTGTTGTCTGTGACCATTGGTTATGCATATATACATGCAAGTTCTTTGGTTTATCTCCCTCCACACACCTTCCCTCTGAGGTTTATCATTCTGTTCCCTACTTACATGTCTCTGGATCTATTTTATTCGTCAGCTTGTTTTGTTCATTATATTCCACAAATAAGTGAGATCATGTGATATTTATCTTTCTCTAGCTTATTTCACATAGCATAATGCTCTCCAGGTCCCTCCATGCCTTCTCAAAGGGTAAGAAATCTTTCTTTCTTACACCTGTATAGTATTCCATTGTGTAAATGTACCACAGCTTTTTTTATCCATTCATGTACTGATGAACACTTGGGCTATTGCAAATAGTGCTGCTTTGAACATAGGGGTGTATATATTCTTTCTGATTAGTGTTTCAAGATTCTTGGGATATATTCTGAGAAGTGGGATCACTGGGTCAAATGGCAGTTCCATTTTTAATTTTTTTTAGGAAATACCATATTGTTTTCGATAGTGGCTGCACCAGTCTGCATTCCCAGCAGTGCACTAGAGTACCCTTTTCTCCACATCCTCACCAGCATGTGTTGTTTGATGATTTGCTGATGGTAGCCATTCTGGCAGGTGTGAGGTGATACCTCATAGTTGTTTTAATTTGCATCTCTCTGATGATTAGTGATGTTGAGCATTTTTTCATATGTCTCTTAGCCATTTGTATGTCCTTTTTGGAGAAGTGTCTATTCAGTTTCTCTGTCCATTTTTTAATTGGGTGGTTTCTTTTTTGTTGAGTTGTATGAGTCTTATCTGATGTATCATTGGCAAATATGTTCTCCCATACAGTGGATTCCCTTTTCATTTTGATGCTGGTTTTGTTTGCTGTAAAGAAGCTTTTTACACCCTGGCCGGGTTGGCTCAGTGGTTAGAGCGTCGGCCTGCGGTCCGGAGAAACCCGGGTTCGGTTCCCGCTAAGGGCACGTACTTCGGTTGCAGTTTGTCCCCGGCCCTGGTTGGTCGTGCGGGTGGCAGCCACTCGATGTGTCCCTTCACATCGATGTTTCTCACTCTCTCTCCCTTCCTCTCTCTCCCTCCCATTCTATCTGTACAAAAAATGGAAAAATATCCTCGGGTGAGGATATATATATAAAAAAAAAAAAAAAGAAGCTTTTTACTTTGATTACTTTGATATAGTCCCATTTATTAATTTTTTCCTTTGTTTCTCTTGCCTTGGGTGATGTATTAATGAAAATTCCACTACATGTGATGTCTGTTCAGGCTTTCTGACTCTTCCCTGTTGAGGTTTGGAAGCTTGTATGATTCTAGGAATTTGTCCATTTCACCTAGGTTGTCCAGTTTGTTGGCATATAATTGTTCCTAGTATTTTCTTACAATCCTTTGTATTTCTGTGGTATCAGTTGTTACTTCACCTCTTTCATTTCTGATTTTGTTTATTTAGGTCTTCTCTCTTTATTTCTTAGTGAGTCTAGTTAAAGCCCCACTGATAAATTTCTTAACCTCTAGTTAAAGGTTCATCAGTTCTAACCAGGTCTTTGTTTCACTGATCTTTTGTATTGTTTTGTTTTGTTTATTTTTTTAGTCTCTATGTCATTCATTTCTGCTCTGACCTTTATTATTTTCTTCCTTCTACTAACTCTGGGTTTTTCTTATTGTTTACTTTCTAGTTCTTTCAGTTGTAGGGTTAGATAGTTTATTAGAAATTTTTCTTGTTTCTTGAGGTAGGCCTGTAATGCTATGAAATTCCCTCTCAGGACTGCTTTCGCTGCATGCCATAGATTTTGTGTTGTTGTGTGTTCATTTTTATTGGTTTCCAGGAAGTTTGTTTTTGTTTTGTTTTGTTTTTTTATCCTCACCTGAGGACATTTTTCCATTTTTTTTTTTGTTCAGATAGAGTGGAGGGAGAGAGAGGAAGAGAGGGAGAGAGAGAAACATCGACACAAAAGGGACACATTGAGTGGCTGCCACCCCACTCACACGACCCAAACAGGGCCTGGGACAAACTGCAACTGAGGTACATGCCCTTAGCGGGAACCAAACCCTGGTCTCTTGGGACCACAGGCTGATGCTCTAACCGCTGAGCCAAACCGGCCAGGGCTTTATTTATTTCTTGATTGCCTTGGTAACCCATTAATTGTTTAATAACATGCTATTTAGCTTCCATGTGTTTGAATGATTTTGAGTGTTTATATTATAATTGATTTCTATGCCATTGTGATCTGAAAAGATGCTGAATATGATTTTAATCTTCTTGAACTTATAAAGACTGTTTGTGTCCTAACGTGTGGTCTATCTTTGAGAATGTCCCTTGTGCACTTGAGAAGAATGTATATGCTGCAGCTTTGTGGTGATATGTTTTATAAATATCAGTTAAATCCATCTGATCTAGTGTGTCATTTAGGGTCTCTGTTTCCTTGTTGATTCTTTGTCTAGAAGATCTATCCAGTGATGTCAGTGGGGTGTTAAAGCCCCCTACTATAATTGTATTGCTGTCAATCTCTCCCTTAAAGTCCTCCAGCAGAATATATTTTGGTGCTCCTATATTGGGTGCATATATGTTTACCAGGGTTATATTTTCTTGTTGGTTTGATCCTTTTAATACACCTTCTTTGTCTCTTGTTACAGCCTTCATTTTGAAGTCTATTTTATCAGATATGAATATTGCTACCCCAGCTTTGTTTTTTTCCATTTGCTTGGAAAATTTGTTTCCAGCCTTTCACTTTGAGTCTGTGTAGGTCTTTTGTCCTGAGGTGGGTCTCTTGTAGAAAGCATATATATGGGTCATGTTTTCTTATCTAATCAGCTATACTATGTCTTTTGATTGAAGCACTTAAGCCATTTACATTTAGGGTTATTACTGATAGGTACTTATTTGTTGCCATTTTTATTCTTTTTTTTTTTTTTTTATTTTATTTTATTTTATTTTATTTTATTTTATTTTATTTTTTATCCTCAACTGAGGACATTTTTCCATTTTTTGTACAGATAGAGTGGGAGGGAGAGAGAGCGAGAAACATCGACGTGAAGGGACACATCGAGTGGCTGCCACCCGCACGACCAACCAGGGCCGGGGACAAACTGCAACCGAGGTACATGCCCTTAGCGGGAACCGAACCCGGGTCTCTCTGGACCGCAGGCCGACGCTCTAACCGCTGAGCCAAACCGGCCAGGGCGCCATTTTTATTCTTTATGCCTGTGTTTTTCTCCCTCTCTCTGTTTCTTCTTTTTCTTACAGCAGTCCCTTTATGTTGGTTTGGTGGTAATAGTCTCCTTTAGCCTTTTTTTTTTTTTTGTCTGTGAAGTTTTTTATTTCACCTTCAATTTTAAATGACAGCCTTGCTGGATAGAGTAGTCTTGGATTCAGTCCCTTGCTTTTCA